ATACAAGATTCATCGCGGGTAATAATACGTCTCATGACATCCTGGTGGTCGGAAAGCATTGTTACACAGACGTTCTCGTGACGCTGTTTTCGAAAAAAGTGTGATTTTGAAACCAATCGTGCTTTCACTTTTCTTAGGTCCAAATGATCTCTCAAAATGGTTTTCATAGATTCTTCCGCTATTCCGACGTTGCCACTAAGATCTCTGACTATTTATCGTCGTTTTGAAACACCAATTCCTTTATTTTATTGATTTGTTGATTACCAGTTTCTCAACATTCTGTACGTTTCTGCACCAGAAATTTGATTCCGCACACAAAATTTAATTTAACTTCTTTGTTGAATAATTTCACTCATCTTAAATAAACCGAATGTACTTGATATACAGCTGCTTTGAAACCCAGTTTCATTCATTGGCCTCCGAGTTGCCCACAAARTAAATATATGCCGTCTTGTCACTTTAATTAGATATCAGCATAATATGTTGAATTCAACTTGATAACTTTCTTTTTGCTTYTAAATATAATTTATTGGACGAGAGCGCACAAGCGAGCAGGAAAGTTGCGAACCAAAGACAACGAATATCTATTTAGTTGAGAACAACATTTAGTATTATCTTACAAGAAAGTTCTGGTTAAAAAAATCGACCAAAGCAGGAGTTATAAGTTTATGCCAATCATTTTTATACTTTGAGTAATATTTGCATTTAATAAGTTCAATTAAGTGTTTCGGGCTAATACTTCGAAATTAAAATTCGTAAGCGGATTTCAACGAAAAAGCGGATTTGAATTTAAAATAGCGTTGATTGGAAGAAATGTTGTCATTATAGAAAATATATTGTTTTGTTATAACTGACTTTTATTCAATACTTACTCGAATCTCCCGCATTGTCTATTATAAAGTGACGCCATTGGTGACAACTTGCAAACAAAATTTTCCACATACTCCACAGGAAGCGAGCTCTTGGTATGGAGTAGTCGAATGAAACCTTTAGTTGACGTTAAATGTTTTCTTGATATTTAGGCTTGCGCTAAAGTCCTAAGCATTTTTTTGGATTGGATTCAGGTGCCGATGAAAGCCAATCAAAAAATATGGGTTTCTTGTTTTCATTGAGTACAGAGTCTGATCCTATGTTTACGATCATTACCTTCTTGCGTTATCCAATCAGCATTTCAGCGGACTTCAGTAAACCCTTTTTATACACTTTTATCATTTCAACGGCGTTCAGGTTTTCTGTGAAACAYCTCAAAACCGCAAATTCATTACCGGAGAAACATTTTATAAATGCACCTCTTAAGGTTGCTGAACACTTCTTTGAATAAATGACTGTTCTTTTCTTAATCAAGCACGGYTCATGGGGTTGAGCAATACAGGCATCAGTAAATAATATTGCCCCAATCACAATAGTTGTTTTCTTACGCCCAATACAACCTTCTTTCAATTGGTTTTTTTGAAAGTAAGGGTTTGATTAAAGTACTGCTGCGTTTGATACCAGATCTTTTATGTAATCACTTGTTAAACATTTTTTTTAGCTYCGCTTGACAGATCAGTGGTTTCTTCTCAAATTACGAACAATCGGCTCTATACACAAAATTTTAACGACTCCTGCTTGACCTTGCGATATTTTTGAAGCATATGAATTAAGAAACAAAGCGATGATAAAAACGRCAACTGGGAAATGAGTATTAAGACGACAAAAACAACGGGAAYAGCGTGTTAGTTTTGTTCTCACATTTAGATGTTAACTGATTTTTCCTTCTTCATGGCTTCTCATCTATGCTTTCAGTTTCTCTGTAATGGTTAGAACACCTGTTCACATATGTGCAACTTGTATTTAAATTATTTGCAGGTTTTTAATAGTCTCTTTGGGACCTTTAAAATGCTTCGGTTGTTTCAAAACGCTTCTGGACACTTTAAGGGTAGTGATTAATATTTTTTTTTATTTATTTTTTTT